GAAATCAGAGGCATTTACAAGTAAATCTGTATTTTGGTTCGGGGTGTGACTGGCCAAGACAAGGGACAGAAAACTGCAAGTTTGCATTCGCTGAGAAGTGCCAATTATTCATTCTCTGTGTGTGGGGAGAAACCGCTCGTTTGTATGAAAACCTTGGCAGTGTCTCCACGATCTTGATGCATAGGGAGAAGGAAGGGGGAGGTGGAAGCGCTTTCCTATCAAAAGCAGAGAAAGAGTCCCCCGGGCGAGTGATTTACTCCACCCCAATATCACAGTGAGGACGCAGACTGTTGGCTTTTAGGTTCCCTTAAAACACGACAACAACAATCACAGTTAGCTGTCATAAACAGCGGATGTGTCACAGCTGGAGAAACACCCCAGTCCAAGCAACTGCAGAGGGAAGCAAAGGCGGAGAAAAGAGAAAGGAGTTTTCTTTCCTTTATTGCAAGCGTCCTTCTTGGCGCTCGGGATGCCTTTGTTCCTGGCGAGGGGAGTTCAAGAGCGAGTCCTCTCCCGAGAACCAGGCGCGGGACGCCCTTTCGTTCGCTCCTAACCCACGCCCGGCCGCCGGCAGGGACGCGCACGCCGCTGGGGGCACCCAGAGCCCCGGCACGCCAGGCCTGGAGCCGCAGCTGTCCTTCGGGGATTCCACTCCACCATTTCGGACCCCCTCCACCCCCCATCCCAAACCTGTTCGCTGAGAAACCACTCTGCATTTCAGTCGGGTGTGTGTGTGTGTGTAGCATTCACAGAAAGGCGCTGAGGACTGCCTTTTGCTCTTTCTTAATAGCATATATTCGAAATATTTAGGCTTTTTTCCGAAGCGACACATTACTTAGGGCAAGGATCTTTCTTTTGGAACACGTAACGCACACTGATTACTACCACTACTACCACTACTGCTAATTTAGGGAATAAAGGTGGATAATGAATACAGTTCTGCAAAATGTACATTCTGTCCAATAATGTATCCATCCCGAAAACTCAATTTGAATTTTATTCAGTGTTACTTCTTAAGGTTTGGTTGTCTGAAAACAAAACCGGAGCCTATAACATTTTTAGTATTTGTCTATACATATTTATAAGTCACACACAGACACACTCTCACACACACACACACACAGAGAGAGAGAGAGAGAGAGAGAGAGAGAGAGAGAGAGAGAGAGAGAATTTTCAAACCCGATACTTGGATTTAAGGAGACTTCACTATCAAACTCTCCAGCTGTTTGCTGCGTGTTGCGCCGAGGGAGATCGCTATGATGGGGATCCCCGAGGCTTACTTAGAAACCAGCTCTAAAGAAGTGAGAGTTATTTCCAAACAAACATATTTAAGACTGAAGTACTCCAAATGCATTTCTCCACATGATGTCATGTGCACATCAGCAAACCCCCCCCCCATCAATGGCGGTTTTACTATTGATTTGGTGAAGACGCGCGCAGTTTAATCTTTTCGTAGATAGCTCATTTCTGTCTCATGAGATCTCATAATAACAAGGTTTTACATTACTGTAAATATTGATAACATATATGACAGTAATTTCGTGTATTACATGTTGCTTAATGCAAAGTATACAGCTGTCGTTTATCCATATATTTTCCTCTTTATAGTATTAATGAATTTTCAGAAGGAAGAAGCGCAATAAAGGTAGTCTGAAGTATATAATATAGATGATTCAGTTTTAATAATCGCCGTCTCTACTGCGTGAGGTGGATACATAACTATAACTATTCTCCTCTAAATTCATTCCTTGCCTTTGAGAGATAAGATCCAGGGGGGAAAGTTTACAGAGACATGGAATATCGTAACGGGTTCGGTCTTTCGCAGGAGACAATATTGTCTCTCACAAGGTTCACAGGCAGTCCTGGAATCCCCACTGGGCAGACCTGACTGGGATTTCGGAGGAGACCTGCCTCGCAGGGCACTCTTAATAAGAGGTCTCAGAAAACCATGTCGAAGGGAAGGCTAGTGGCTACTGGGCAACGAGGTCACTGGGCACCGGGACGTTGCTTTTCTCCGCACCAAGAATGGTTGCTTGCGATAAACGGAGCCCGTCAACTGAGAAGCGAACTCAGGCCCGCCAGTGTCAAGCGAAAGGGGAGGGGACCTGGGAAAGAAAGGCAGCCCCCACTTCGGAGGAGCGGCCAGGCAGGCAGGGCGCCCCGGGGAGGTACATCCCAGAAAGCAGCCTGAAAGGCCCGGGGCATTGGACCCGGCGAAGAAAATCCGTGATCCTGAGACCCCAGCGCCAAGGAGGCGTCACGGCCGCCAAGAAGGGGAGCTACAGCCGAGGGGAGCGGGGCGGTGAATCCCGGCGCTATGCCTCCTTCCTCCAGCAGCGGGGGACTCTTTTTCTTTTTTTTAACAGCCCCCTTTCTCTTCAGGCGAGTGGTGGCCTTCTTGGACTAAAATGGAGGGGTTAAAACAAAACAAAACAAAACCCACAGGATTGCAAAGAGAAGGGTGTCCACGCTGAGGATTTAGCCGTCAAAATTATTCTTCAGCAAATCCAAATAAGATTGATCGTTAGAAAGGAAATAGAAGTCTCTGCGCCTTATTTCCGTTCTACAGAGGGTGAAATAAACATCTCCCCACTGGATTTGGGATTTTCCATTGCTATCCTGCGCCTTCTGTGAGGAAAGGGTGGGGAAGGAAATGTAGGCGTAAACCCCCCCCCCCCGCCGCCAAAAAACCCAACCCAGTCGCGACTCTTCCCGCTTTCAGTCGGGAGCAAAAAGGGCCTGAAAACAATACTCCCAAAGCCCACGAGATGCAGGCTGCTCACCCTTGGAACTTTTCGAACTCAGTGAAAAAATTTCATATTGAACACGCCCCCCCCCCCCCATCTGGTTTTCAGCAGAGCAGCAGAAAGCAAGTTTTGCCTATTTTAGTGGGTGCCATTCACTGGCGAGAAGATGAAACCAGCAATGGCGGGTGGGTCTAAAGAGCAATCGGGATAATGAAACATATTGCTATTAATAATGCCAAACCTTCCTTTGGGGTGTAAAGGAATATTACCTAGCCTCTAGTATCCGAGGCATGTCAATTTACTTGCGTTGCGTTGGCAGCAAGTTACTTCCAAGTAAGTATCTTTGAATAATCTGTTACCTCTTCAAAACCCAGCGGGTTCCAAGGAGTGTGACGTCAGCCAGTGTAGCTTAGGTAAATGGTAACCGAAAACAAAACAATGCAGAAAACAGGAATGAATCTGGTGATCGCAACCTTAATTGCTCACGGATCAGTTCCCCGTTTTAATTGTCCCAGCGGAAACTCAGAAATATTCTTGATTGATTTTTAGCTAAACAAACAACTAATAATTGAATCTGAGGGAGAAATATATATATATACTAACTCTGCCGCTCCTTGCTTTTCAACCATAAAAAACCAAAAATCATACCTCTCAGATACCACGTCTCGCAACAACCGTTGGGATGGAAATATGAACCTGCAGATGTAGAACAAGTAAGAGAAAACAAATGTTAGTTTCTACTTTAAAATAAAAGAGCCGGGAGGTCAATCAATTGAATTGTCACCTTTCCATAATATTCTTTCTCCGCCCCCCTCCCCACCTTTGGCAAGTGACACCCTTGAAAATCTGAAGTGTAAACCGCTCAATCAATTGGCAAAGCAACTACTGTTTTAAGTGGATATAACTAACTACCGGACAACGAGATATCCGAGACATTTTTCGCGCACACACAGACGTAGAGAAATGGAAACTATTTGTCGGAGTCCCCCCCGCCCCGCAACTCCCCCCTTTGGACCCCTCTACCCCCCTTTTTCTTAAAACAGTTTATTTAAAAGAAGCTTCGGGTGGACACTGTAGATAACCGAGCGGCCAATCAGAGAGCAGCTTTCCTCCCTTGGCCAATAGCAGGCGCCACATTGTTGTCAAATGTTGTCTAATGGAAACGTAAGGAGCAACAATAGAGCGAGCGCTCGCGGGCGGTTCGGCGAAGATTTCTATCTCTTGGCAACTCTCGCCCTCTTTAGTGTCACACATGCAAAGTTGGGGCTGAGGGAAGGGGGGGACCGCACTGGGCTCCGCTGCTTACAGAGAGGCGCCTTGGCTGACTGGTCGGTGGGTTTTTGACTTGAAGGAAGGGAGAGACAGCAAGCAAGAGATGACAGAGGGAGGCTGAGAGACGCTGGCCGGTGCCTCTGGGGGAAGTTGGAAGTTGTCGCAACTCAGGAGCCCAGAGGCTGCGGGGTTCGGGGGTTCGTGGTGTCTCCCTCCGGTCGCTGCTTTGGGCTGAGGTGCTGCGGCGAGGGCGGAACCGAGATTCCGTTGGACTGGGCGTGGATTTTGTTATGTCTCCAGGGGCTTGTGTTCGCGTCAGGCGGGACAGTGTTTTGTAACATTGGCAGGCGATTGGGCGCAGCTGTCTCCTTTGCACCAAGCCGCAGCCGATTGTTGGAGAGGGAGAAAGTAGCCCTGGCTATTGTTTTTGCAGCCTTTGTAGCGAGTTCTGTCTCCGAATCACAGTTATTAGGAACCTGCTGATAGAAAAGAAACCGTCGGAAGAGAATTGGGGCACAAGGTGCAGTTGCGCTTTGTGGAGCCGACGAGAAGGGATGGGATGGGCTGCGTGTTTTTTCAAAGGCTCTGGGCTTGCAGGGCTTTAAGTGAGGTAGTGACGAAGACCCCATTGAAGTTTGTTCTCGGGGCATTAAGAAAGAGAAGTAAAAAGGTCTCGAGTTTTGAAAAGTAAGGCATCGTTCCCTTGGCAGGGAAGGGCGGAGGCTCCCGGGGGGGAGTGAAGTCGGGAAAGTTTGCGCTTTGGGGTTAGGGAAAAGACCGGTTTAGAGTCGCTGTCGGGATCCGGAGGACTTCTTTGAGACTGTTCGCAGATCTTCAGAGGCTTAGACGGCATCCGGGGCCGGGGCCGGGGGCGGGGGCGGGCGGGGGCTAGCTCAGAGTTGGGGAGCCTTCCTGCCGTTGGAGACCTTCGAGGGGAGCTTTGGCGTCGGAGCAGGGCCTTGGCCTTCCTTTCCTGCTGGGATGGAGCTGAGGTCTGAGATGCCCAGCGTGCCCTCGGCGCCTCCTTCGGTGCCCCCCAGTTCGGTGGCGGCGGCCGCGGCGGCGGCGGCGGCCAGCCTGCCGGTGAGCGTGGCCGGGAGTCTCCTGCGGGCGCCGCCATTGCTCCTGCGGGCGGCCGAGAAGTACCCCCGCACGCCCAAGTGCGCTCGCTGCCGCAACCACGGCGTGGTGTCGGCGCTCAAGGGCCACAAGCGCTACTGCCGCTGGAAGGACTGCCTGTGCGCCAAGTGCACCCTCATCGCCGAGCGCCAGCGCGTCATGGCCGCCCAGGTGGCGTTGCGCCGGCAGCAGGCGCAGGAGGAGAACGAGGCCCGCGAGCTGCAGCTGCTCTATGGCACTGCGGAGGGGCTGGCCCTGGCCGCCGCCAACGGCATCATCCCACCCCGGCCCGCCTATGAGGTCTTCGGCTCGGTGTGCACCGCAGACGGAGGCGCGGGGGGCTCAGGTGAGGCAGCAAGCGCACCCCCTCTCCCCACCCTGGCCTGCCTGCCGGAGACCACCGGCACAAGTCTTTCCCGCACACACGGAGGGGGGACAGGCCATCATAATGCCCCATGGGACTCGGTGGGACTCGCTTCCTGGTGAACAGGTTTAGGATCGCGCCTTTAACATCCCATGGATTTCTGCGGGACTTAGCGGTGGCTAACACGCTCTGAATGGCGCACACTGGTTTCAAGGGAAGTTAGGCAATGGGATTTACTTCCAGGTGAACGCACGGGATGGCAGGCAGGGGTTAATCTCACCCACTTGAGTCTGTCCATCCAGCTAGCCAGCCAGTATGGATCTATCAGCCCCTACACCCTTTCTGTGTAGCCCGTCTCCGCTATTCTCTCTCCCGCTCGCATGCATCGTATGCAAAAACAGCCTGTCTAGCGCCAGTATTTCTTCCTCACATTGTGCCCATCCATTCTCCTTTTGGCTACCTCCCCAACGTTTGTTCTATTAGTGCAAGAACTTTCAATGTATTGATTTGAAAGGGCCATATTCCCCCAGTGCTGTTGGGCCGCTTTATCTGCTCTCCCCTGAAATCGAAGCCTATTATGTCAAGAACACTGAGACACCAGTCAGCCTTTTTAGATACTCCGTAAACCTCACATCAGTAAAGGACCCCCTTACCGCATGTATTCCCCAATACATTCTAATACACATTTTCTTATTCCCTTCCGTCTTCATGTATTAATTAATGTCAGATTTTAATGCCTCGTGGGATTGGGTTTAAACTTCCCTCTGATGAGGCGTAAATTGTAGTTGTGTGGAGGACTTTCCCTTCACAATCCTAAATTTGTCTACTCAGATTCCCCCTCATTTCCAGGTAAGTGTTTTAGGACTGCAGCAATAAAGCCAGACCTCTGAAAGTGAACTCTGGCGTCAGCCGAGTTTTTCCAGGGCACGGGCTTAATTTCTGGGGGTCTCTTTCAGCCTGGGCCTGAGTTGGAAACCTAGATGCGAGAAAATGCCGCCCTCTACCGACCGGGCCTTGCTTCGAGTGACGAGGTGGAAGGACTATTGGTTAAACCGGCTCCCGCAGAGGGGCTAGCAGTGGCCATCGAAGTGGTAATGGTGGCCTAGCTTGAATAGGAAGGGGAGATGAAGAAAGACTGCAAGATGGTTCCAGATAGGGAGCAAGTTCCTTAAATATGATGGGTTGCCTGCTTTCACAGCGGAGTTAGCCCAAAGAACCTGCTTTCTGCCTGCTTTCTTCGGAGTTAGCCCAAAGAACTGACCTACTCAGAATTGTTCTCCTAAAGGCATGTTAGTCTGCGAATCACCAGAGCTCATGTTGCAATACAAGTTGTCAGTTTTTAAGGTGCCACTGATCTAGTGGACGCCGGGTCTGTATGAGTTTGCGCCTTGAACTGATTTGTGGGACGCAGAGAGACCAGTTTGGCTCTTGCATTCCTTGGGCGCTCCTGAAAAATGGCCTAAAAATTTTCAGGCTCTCCTCCCAGTTGGCAAGCGCTCTTGTGTCTCACCCGGCTTTCTCTTTCTGTTTTTCTCTCTGCCAGACTCTAAGCTGCAGAAATTCGAGCTGTTCCCCAAGACGCTGGTCCCCAACCGGGCCGTGACCCCGCAGCAGGCCAAGCCCTTGTCGCCGGACGGGGCGGACAGCGGGCCAGGCACCTCGTCGCCGGAGCCCCCCCGCCACGGCTGCGCCTCGGGCTCCGAGAACGGCGACGGCGAGTCCTCCCTCAGCTCGCCCATCTCGAAAGGCGCCAAGGACGGCCCCGGCGGCGGCGAGGAGGAGAGCCCGGGCTCCATCAGCCCTCTGGGCTCGGATTCGGGCTGCTCGGAGGCGGAGCGGGAAGAGACTGGCGCGCAGTCGCCCGGCCTGGCCGCGGCGGCAGCCGTGGTGGCAGCCGGGGGCAGCCGACAGCAGCGGACGCCGCTGGACATCCTGACGCGCGTCTTCCCCGCGCACAAGCGCAGCGTGCTGGAGCTGGTGCTGGCCGGGTGCGGCGGGGACGTGGTGCAGGCCATCGAGCAGATCCTCAACAACCACCACCACCACCACCACCACCAGCAGCGAGGCGCCGGCAGCCCGGGCCAGGCTCTGGCCGCCGCCTCGGGACTGGCCTCGGCCGGCGCGGACAAGGCGAGCGACGAGAGCTGGCCGCGGGCGGCCGGGGACGCGCCGGGGACTCTGGGCAGCCTGCAGTCTTCGCCCGCCGGCGCCGCCTCGCACCACCGCCCCCTGCTGGCCGGCGCCATGACGCCCGCCATTGGCGCGCTCGGCAGCCGCTCGGCCTTCTCGCCCCTGCAGCCCAACGCCACCCACTTCGGGGCGGCGGCGGCGGCCGAGGCCAGCGCTTACCCGCTCGGCACGCACCTCGGCCTGAGCCCGCTGCGCCTGGCCTACTCGGCGGCGGCGGCGGCGCACAGCCGAGGCCTGGCATTCATGACGCCTTACTCCACCGCCGGGCTCATGCCCACGCTGGGCTTCCGCCCGCCCATAGAGTACGCCTTCAGCGACCTCATGCGGGACCGCTCGGCCGCCGCCGCTGCCGCTGCCGCCGCTGCTGCCGCCGCCAGCGCCCACAAGGAGCAGCAGCAGCAGCAGGCCT